TCAATAACCAATAATCACTGACCACTCACTATATAACCCAAAAAATTTTCAGTAACCAATAATCACTGACCACTCACTACAGGTAATGAATAACTAATAATTAGTGTACAACTGCAAATAATCAACATACAGCAGTTAATCAGTCATTGCTGACCATTCACTGTACAACCAGAGGTAACCAACAGTCATTGACAACTCACTATACGACCACAGGTAATCAATAATCACTGACTAATCACTGTACAACCACGGGTAATCAATAACCAGAAATCATTGATCACTCACTGTACAACCAGCGGTAACCAATAATCACTGACTCACTGTATGATCACAAGTAATTAGAAATCACTGACCAATAGCAACAGTGACCAAATGTACAACAACAGGTAATCTGTCATACTGACCACTTACTCTACATACACAGGTAATCAGTAACCAGTAATCACTGACCACTCACTGTAAAACTGCAGATAATCAGCAATCACTGATTGAACAACCTCATTATTGCACTGTACGACCACAAGCAATAAATAACCAGTACTTGCTGCATAACTAATGAAAATCCAAAGGCAATAATATCTTAACTTTAACAATGCATTCAAACAATTAATTCAACCATGCGTAATTAATAATTAATAATGCACAATGCACATTCCCAGTTAAAAAGTCTGTAGAACTCCAGAAAAATAATAAATAATTAGCACAAACAGTCACAAATCATGGTCAATTGTTGTCATTTGCAATGTGCATAAGTCTATGTAGGCCTTTATCTTACAGTAAGTGATTCTTATTTCAACTTAAATTTTCTAGGAACTTCTCTACTGGAAGGCAGATGCCTAAGGTGGGTTCTTTCCTTGAGCACTCATCTACAAACACTGAAGACCAGGAGGGCGCTGATAAACCCCTCCACAATGACACCTCAATGGACCCACCCTCGGTGGGAGGGTCTAACCCTGCAGAGAAGAACAGGAACTGCATCAACTATGAGTGGCAGCAGGCCCAATCACGAACGTCTGGGACAGAAACCTCCTTCCCTACTCCTGTCTCTGAGTCCTGCAATGCCACACAGCTTCCACCAGTGGGCAACAGTGTCCCTCCCTGTGCTCAGCTGACCCAGGAAGACCTGGAGATACCAAAACTGGACCCAAGTGAAGTCCAGAGGAACTTGAGAGAGAGCTCTGAAGAGAGCCTGATGGAGCTTTCGCAGAAGCAGTTCTGCTCTCCGGAAACATCGACCTCACATGGCGTATTTTACCCCCTCATGAAGATGGTTTCTGAGGTTTCAGGGTCACAGGGTTCTGGTCGGCTTACTGACACCCCTATAACCATCCTACCTAAGCAGCAGAATGTTCCTAAGAGGCCGAGTAGCCTAAGTCTCCATGCTAAGCCTTCTGGGAAAATACCCGCCTTGTCATCTTCATCACTGCGGATGAAGTTTGGGAAACTCGGAAAGTCGAATTTGAAGAAAGTCGAGATGGGTGTGGCTAAAGCCAGTGCGGTCAGAGCGGCACATGAGGCCAGGCCGATTACTGTTGCCAACAACGATGCTGCGGCAGCAGTGAGTAAATATGCGAACGGAGCAGCACCTGAGTCAGCAGGAAGTGCAGCCAATGCCGCTGATGTCCGTTGGAAGGGCGCCATGAGTTCAGAGGACTTGACCTTTGGCCTCTTGAACACTAGCCCTGACGAGCAAGAACCTCTTCTGAGAAGAGAGGCGCATCCTGACAATGCGAACAACAACAACAGCAATAACAACAATGGCGAGGGAGAGGGTGAGGGAGACACTGAGGGTGGAGGAGAGGGAGGAGAGAACAGTGAGAATGTTGGTCCAACTGGAGATGCTCCATCAGCTTCTACCGTGGAGCCTGTTGCGCTGCCCGGCCCGTGTCCTGCCCCAACCGTGGTTCCTCCACAGGCACAACCCCAAGCTCAGACACAAGGAGAGGCCCTGCTCAGACAGAACCGTGTGCGCAGACCTGAGAGACCCAACTCACTAGATCTGTCCATGACCACACTGCCATTACTAGGTGAGTATCAATGCTTAAACTCAACTTATTTTAACTAAATTTGCCCTTTTGAATGCAAAATATGTACTTTTTTGCAGAACCAAAGAGTTTTTTTCAAGGGGTCCTAATTCTACTTCATATTGCAAACTTGATATTAGTATTTTTATCATATTATCTTGTGTTGTCATAATTATAAACAAGCTGGTTTGTAGAGCATTCTACCTTTTTAAACCATTGCACCACTAGTTTTATCTCACTTTGTTATTCTTCTAGTTGTTTACGTACTGCGGTGAATGAATTAGAAGTCTCGCACCTTCACAGAAAATAGCTTTACTTTCATGTTGCAAACTAAGATAATAGAATTTGGCAACAAAAATCAATTGAGTTGAAGAATTGTGACATTTCTGGGCCTTTAAGACACTGCTTATGTATTTTATCTATTTTATGTAGCTTATATATTTCTTCTGTTAATTTCTACAAAGTTTTCCAAATGTTCTTTTTGTCTATTTAAGAGCTCTGACAATATCTGTCAAGCTTCCTGTAACAGTGGATAATAATTATTTCATATTTAATTATTGCTAATTAACATATGATAACATGATCTAAAGTTACATTAATAAATAGTAGTTTTTATATTTAGTGGTATTATATGTGTAGTTGAATGGGATAGCTGGATAGTGTCAGCCAGGGTTGACCCATTTATAGTGACCCCCTCAAAATTAAAATAATAGAGAGAAATATTGCCAAGTTACACTGTATACCTCTATCGGCAATACTATTCATCCACTGTTTCACTATTTTCATTATTTCGTTTCATATACTTGTGCAGAAGGTCGCCACTTTTGGGTGTGGTTCACGTGGGACCAAAGATTTGCGGTCCGCCACTGCACTAATGCTATTAGCTAATGTATTTTAACAGATAATTATTTGCTTTTTTAAATTAGTTCGATTTCATGTACGGTATATAATGAGTTATTTTATATATTAACATTTTATCAAAATGACTGGTTAAAATCTGAGTGGCTGGTAAAATTGGACGTTCACTAGCCAAAGTTAATTTACCACCCTTTTCATATTTTAATTTTTATTGTTAACAATCATTTTTGATGTTTACACCAATATGTTCACTCTTACAGGCCTTTTTTCCTGAAACATGAACATAATGGGTTACACTTTATTTTAAGGTGTCCTTGTTACAGTGTAATTATACATTTAAGTACTGAGTAATATTAATGAACTACATGTACTTACTATATGGTTAGGATTAGGGTTTGTCTTAGGGTTACTAGCGTGTAATTATGCATAATTGATTGTTATTATAATAGTAAGTACATGTAACGTGTAACAAGAACACCTTAAAATAAAGTGTTACCGCATAATGAATTGCTCTGTAAATGGTTTGAAAAAATATTTCGTTTTGGAACAATTTACACATAAATCCAATGAATGAGGCCCATTGTTTTACATTTTAAAATGACGTTTATGTTGTAATCTCTTGGTTCACCCACAGAAGGCAAGTCTGCCGTTGACGTGACAGAGGGATCAGGAGATAAAATCAAGAAGCGAGTGAAGACACCTTATGCTCTGAAGAAGTGGCGTCCTGCCAGCTGGGTTATCACCACAGATACACTGGCTGCTGAAGTCAACAACAACAGACTTCATGGAGGGCCCGGTCAGAACCAGAATCAGGCCGGTACCAGCAGACCTAAATCAGCCTCTGCCGTGCATCTAGGTAGTCGGGGAGGATCTCGCTTCTCAGATCCCAATGACTGTGACTTTTGAACATAAACCTCACTTTGCTCTTGAAAAAAATTTCAAATCAAACAGTCTAAAGTTTGTGGAGACAAGTGTGGACTGGACCATATAAATGTCTTAAATTTAACCCCAGTTGTAAGCACAGTAAGAGTCTTAGTGGATTTACATTGAAAAGAGCTATGCAGCCATCTTTTAGTTTAATGTTTGTATGTTTCTTTTTAAGTAAGCCACTTTTTGGTTGCACTTTTTTTGCTTGAAGTTATAAATCATAATTATTTTGACCATTTGAAATGGTCCCTAATATTAATAGTGTAAATGTGTACTTAATCATCACATTCTCAAGGTCATGGAAAATCTGAAAATGTCAGGGAATTTTGATTACTAAAAAAAATCTTAAAGTAATGGAAATTTCAATAGTCTATATTAATTCTTAGTTATGCTCATCTCTAAAATATTTCATTTCTCTTTGTGAGTGTAACCTCTATAAAATTATAAAAATCTTGAGAATATGTGGAAGCCCTGTTATAAGATTATAAGATTACTCATTAACACTTTTTGTCATTTGTAAGGTTACAAAGCTTTCATTTTTTCCCATGCAGACCTGCTGAATATGTTTACATTCTATAATATTTTCCTGCAGCTGTGAGATTTATGAGAGAATATTACTGAAGTTCCGTGACTGTGTTCACAGCATCGGATATTGTAAGTGCTGTTGTGTGTGCAAAATAACAGCAGGCTTCACTTTCTGAGGTCTGAAAGAAGCCAACAGACCACAAAAACAGCAATTCAACACATTTCACTGTGGTGGCACAATGTATCTCAGCATCAGACACTCAAGACAATATTTAGAAATGGTGCGACTGTACAGAGACCAAGGCGACATCTGATATGATCAAACGCAGAAGTCACACTTCTCGCTTTCTGGACAAGCTTTACTCAGAGACGCAAGACAAAGCTGCACTCGGTCAACTGACTGTTCTGGATCCTGTTAAACTGTCTAATGATGCTTTGGACCTACTTGTTATTTACTTATTTTTCTATGTGTGAGTGAGTGTGCCTGAGCACACAAGATCAGTTCTCTGTGTGTTTGTTCCTGTATCTTTGTGTCTTGTGTCTACTCGTGTGAAAGGTTTCTGTGCTGCATGTTTGTAACTATTCCTATGGGGATGTGCATCTTCGTATGCACTTACCTGTTCCAATCATTTGATGAACAAGAAGTCAACAAAGGGCAAAGGTTTAATCTGATAGAAACCTGAGAATAGTCTTTTTTCAAAGCACAGCACACAAGAGCATTTTTTTGCTATGCACAAAGACATGAAGCAAGCAGCTCTGGTCTGAAATCAAACCTTCTTATGTTAGTAAACTGCTCTGGCAAGTCAGTGATAATGAATCAGACGCTGTTATTATAATCACATTAAAAAAGTCCCATATTATCCTCACCTGAACTGACTGTCGCATGTCTTAAATGCATCTTAAAGAGCACAAGAAACTTTCAGCTGCGCCCCTTGTGTGTTTATGCACACATGTGTGCATGTTTGTGCATGTATGCGTGGATGAGTGTTTGTATGATGTTATTCTCCTGTTAACACAATCGTTGTAATCGTAGTGTCGTGATCAATCATTTTATTACCCCTTGCTGAGACATTTTGAAAATTGTGATTTGTATAAGAAGGTGCAGACTGTAAAAGTGTATTGTTATTTGCAGATTTAAATTAAATTATGCTTTGCATTTGCATAGTCTCTGTTTATTTACAGTGTGATAAAAAGATATTTCACTGTCCTCAAGCACTTGGAATTGCAATATGATCGTTTCACCACTAGTCGGCGCACTAAAACATGTTATTCTAACCTTGACCCATTAGAATTGGCGCATGCATTTTTATTTAAACTAGTGCTGTCAAACGATTAATCGCATAAGTTTTTGTTTACATAATATGTGTGTGTACTGTGTATATTTATTATGTATGTATAAATACACACACATGCAGTATATATTTAGAAAATATTTACATGTATATATTTATATTCATATAATGTATATTATATATAAATATATTTAATATATAAACATAACATATTTTTCTGACATATATACATGCATGTGTGTGTATTTATATATACATCATAAATATACACAGTACACACACACACACATATTATGTAAACATAAACTTTTATTTTGGATGCGATTAATCGTTCGACAGCACTAATTGAAACCTTTTTTAACACCCCTCTTAGGTACATTTTAAATTGAAATATAATATACTCTAAGGATTTATATGTGGAATAATTGGTGCACCTTTTATGAAGCCTGCATTCATAATCTCTCATAACACGTTGTACTGCATTGTGTGCTTTCATAAATAATTGAATCCGGAGATTATGCATACATCTTTACTATAATGACTGTACAGTTAAGACTATAATGTAAGTTCATATTTAAATATAGTGTTTTAATGTATTCCTTAAAGGTCAATAACAGGTAACGTATTATAAACAGTTAGCCTATCATATGGTTAATTAAAAATAAGCTAGTAGCCTACATGGATTTATAGAACGTGTTGCCCAGTATTTCCCTGTTGTTCTGCTGTTTAAAACTTGCCATTTCGTGAGGTCTTAATACGTTTTATAGCGTTTCAACGGAATAAATAATGACACACACATCAGTTCAATATGACATAAGCTTTTACATGGAAGTAATTTAGCTCTTTGGCTCCGCTGAGTTTCTGAGGGGAGGCGTTGCTGCTCGCGCCGGAGCTTCAGCACGCACTGACACGCACAGCGGTGCGACACTGCCGCGGAGCGACGCGGGACTCCGGGGAACCGTCGCTCACTAGTGTAACAGGGAACGCGTTACCTCTCAGCTTCCATCCGACGCTGCGAAAACAAACAGAAGTATGTAGTTTGGAAGAGGACAGATGACCCACTCCATGGTGTTGTTTACTGTAGTTACTGGGAATGCGTCGCTGCGTCTTGTTGTGAAGGACAGGTCCCAAACTGGGGACTTCCTCGCAGGACTGCGTACATTTTTGTCTATAGACATGTAATCATAGAATTCAGCTTTTAAACACAAGCAAGGTGCGATGGCCTCTTCATCTCAGGCCGAGACACGAAAGTTCACACGCGGTCTGAGTAAGCCGGGCACCGCCGCTGAGTTACGCCAGAGCGTCTCCGAGGTGGTGCGCACTTCTGTACTGGTGGTGAGTGAAGTTCAACCTTAAAGTCTGCGTTTGATTCAAATCACACTTTTATTGTATTCGTTCCTTACTATTAACAACCTCTGTAGATTATTCACGTAATGACCTAAATATGAAATATAGGACAGGGCCATTAACGTGCTCAGATGGGAGTAACTATCAGATAAATGTCAGTGAGGGCTCAAACGTGTTTTAAAAGCTCATAAATTGAGCACCTGCCACCTGTCAAATCTCCATCATTGCCACCATCATCTTTTCAGCCATACCTCTTTGAAAATAATAGTTTTGCATCAGTGTCTTGTCATTTAATTGGGATTGTATTGGACTGGGGAAAATGGATAAAAGGGAAAAAAAATCCTTTAATAAGGATTCTGCTGTGCTTTAAGCTGAAATGATTATAGCAGCCTTACTTAGCAGTCGACATGTCACCTGCATTGCTTCATCTCTCAGAACAGGAGACGGAGTCTCTTTATCCATTACCTGTTATGCAAAAAAGGAAAGTTCCATCTGGAACTAATAGCCTACAGGAGCTGATTCCACCATAATTCAGATGTTGCCTTACTAAAGTAACACTTGAATACACATGAAAGCGCCAAACTGAAGTTTGCCATCCTCATTTTGTGCAAAACAGTCTTTTGTGCCAGGAACACCATTTAAAGATCAATGAATTTCATTCTCTTAAAGGAATAGTTCACCCCAAAATTCTGAAAGTTGTTACATTTACTTACCCACATATCGTTCCAAACCCATTTCTCTTTCTTTTCTCTGTGGAGCACAAGTGCTCTTCTTCCATACAGTTAAAGCTGAATGGAAAAGCTTTAAAAAGTATAAATATAGACATATTCACTACAGTTCGAAATTTGGAGGTTAGTATTATTTTTTTTAATTCAGCAAGGATGCATCAAATAATAACCAAAAGTATTTTTGGACTATATTATAAAGATTCACATATATTACATTTTTTGTTACAAAAATGTCTATTTCAAGTATATACTATTCTTTTGGACTTTATATTCATCAAAGAATCCTGAGAAATATTTATCATGGCTTCCACAAAAATTGAGCAGCTCAACTGTTTTGAACTGTGATAATAATAAGAAATGTGTCTGAAGCACCAAATCGGCTTATTAGAATTATTTCTGAAGGATCATATGATGCTGAAGACTGGAGAAATGACTGCTGCAAATTCAGCTTTGCTATTACAGAAAGAAATGATGCTTTCATTTATTCATGAGCTATATTCCAATAAGTGTATTAACATAGAATTTTTTTTATATAATTGTAATAATAATGCACAATATTAATGTTTTATTGGAGTTCAAATTAATGCAGCTTTAGTGAGCATAAGAGACAGCTTTCAAATAAATAAATAAATATAAAAATTGTACAAAATCTTACCAACCCAAAAACTGGTATGACTAAACACCACAAAACTGCCATTAAAGTACTTCATAGAACTATATTGAGGCCTTAATGGATTAAATCAAGGTAAAAGTTGTTGTATGACTTCAGAAGAATTGGAATATGTGACCCTGGACCACAAAACCAGTCTTAAGTCGCTGGGGTATAGCCTATTAGTAGCAATAGCCAAAAATACATTGTATGGGTCAAAATTATTGATTTTTCTTTTATGCCAAAAATCATTAGAATATTAAGTAAAGATCATGTTCCATGAAGATATTTTGTAAATATCCTACTTTACATATATTAAAACTTAATTTTTGATTAGTAATATGCATTGCTAAGAACTTCATTTGTACAACTTTAAAGGCGATTTTCTCAATATTTTGATTTTTTTGCACCCTCAGATTCCAGATTTTCAAATAGTTGTATCTCGGCCAAATATTGTCCTATCCTAGCAAACCTTACGCCAATGGAAAGCTTATTTATTCAGCTTTCATGTGTTGTATAAATCTCAATTTAAAAAAATTGACCCTTATGACTGGTTTTGTGGTCCAAGGTCACATATAGCTCATGCATTGTATCGACTACTTTTATAATACTTTTACTTTTTGTGCTTTTATGGTAGTTTTTGTCAATTTTAGACCTTGACAGCCCAGTCCCAATTGAGTTTCTGTGTAGAAGAGAGCAGGCTGGATTCTTCAGGATATCTTTGCTTGTGTTCCACAGTAGAAGTCATACAAGTTTGGAATGGCATGAGGATGAGAAAACTATGACAAAATATTCTTTTTTTTTTACAATGAACTTAACTATTGCTTTAAAGTGATGCTGGATTGTTTTAGTTTTAGTGGTTGTTCTTGGCCTCTTAATTAACTTTCATACCCTAAAATGTTTTGCTGTACAATCATTGATAAGAATTTAGAGGTTACATGCTTAATCTGTCACCATTATGACTATTAGCAAAGCATAAAACCCAAGGGTTACATCAGAGCAACTCTTCCTTCATTTAGTGAACGCCCAAGTACATTAAAATGCTGTTATGTCTACTTCCGCAGTACATAAACTTTCTGTGTAGCCCTGTCCTGTTACTGGAAGGCTCAGTGGCAGTTCCCTAGATTTGTGGGTCGACCCACAAGGTTTTGAATCAGACCAGTGTTTTTCTGTCCAGCTAGTGTTACCATGGTTACTTATGGTTCAGCGATTAGACTTTGGATTTAGCCTTTTGACATCAATTAAGTTTGGCTTTGTGACTTAGTGCTGTACATTTTAATGACATCTTTGATTATCATCCATGTCGAAAGACAGAAAATAAACAGATGGTTTATAAACTGTATGACACACACACACACACACACACACACACACACACAGTTTCTCAGTTAAGTGTGTTTGTGGTAATGGCTGGTAAGCAGGAATGCTGGGGTCCACTAATGGAACTTTGGGTCAATGGCTCCTAATTTGTTTTCACATATTTTAGCTCTCAATCAGAGGAACGTACTTTATGGCCTATTTTTCTCTTTCTGGTGTCTCTATGTTCCTTTTCCCCTGCTTTCTTGTTCAAGTGAAAACCCATCTGATCATTATTCCTAATATGTCACTCAAACAACTTTAGAGGGGATTCATGGGAAATCAGGCCGTAAAATTAAATCCAAAAGGATTTGTCTCCTCTGATGTTCACAGGTCACTTGATCAAACAGATCTGCACAGAAGGGGCCTGAAAGGGTCTTAATTTGAACCCCCAAAGAGCACATTTTTATACAGGCACAAATGCTTAGCTATAATAATAATTTTCATGGATCAATGGCATGATGCTCATTTTGTTTGTCTTAATCTAAGTTATTAAAAAATACATTTGTTGCAACAGCTAGCCTAATTCACTTCTTCTATGTTTTTTATTTCTGTATTCAAATTCATTTTTGGGAGGGTGTGAAGTAAAAAATGTCAGGGCGATACAACCCTCCTTATATAATAATGAAGAAAAAGCCTCATTAAAGAATTAAATTATTGAAAAAAAAATAAATATTCAAAAGTTTGGGGTCTGTAAGTTTTTTTTTTTTTTTTTAAGAAGTCTCTTATGCTCAACGGGGCAGCAATTAATTGATTAAAAATACAGTACAAACAGTAATATTGTAAAATATTATTACAATTTTAAATAGCTGTTGTCTTTTTGACATATTTTCAAATGTAATGTATTCCTTTGATAGCAAAGCTGAATTTTCAGCAT